CTCTCGAATCATCCTCAAGCGTTTCACGGCCACTCTTGAACCATGCATACCACAAGAACGCTTTACTACCTGCTAGACAATCTTTTTCAAATGCAACTTGTATCATTTAATATGTTTATGTTGTAGCTTTTTTACATTTATAACAAAACAATCAAAATTCCATTTTGAAAATCGTGACAACGTTAAAAATTTTTTAAGATTTTAAACGCACACAAACTTTAAACTATTGGTTCAATAATGGCAAAAAAATATGACAAAACTTAAGAGGCATCATAGTAACTAGACCCAGTGTAGGCCAAGAGATAGCGCAGTTAGTACGTCCAAAAATAAATTAGTCCCCAAACTTTTTGAATGCACTGTGTATATAATATTTATTTATATTTTATTTATAAATGTAATTAAGGCATAATTTTATATATAAATGTAATTAATGCATAATTAATATTTTTAGGTTAACTTACAAATAGCTATGCAATGAGTTTATGTTAAGTAGCAAAATATATATATATAAATCTGGTAAAAATTCTATCAAAAATATCATAGAAACGACAACATTGAATATACATTTTTATTAATTGGCTTCATAAAGAATAATAAAATGATAAAATCATATCGAACCACTTCTATAGTGTTCAATAATATTTTGCGAATCTGGAATTACTTGCAACTTTTGGTTCTGGAAATTTAAGAATATTTATATTTTATATATAAATGTAATTAATGTGTAATTAATATTTTTAGATCATTTACAAATGGCTAAGCAATGAATTGCTTGTTTATGTTAATATAACAAAACATATCTTGTGGGAATTCTATCAAAAATATTACATATACGGTTGAGTTAAAAGCATCCTAGTAGAGCCTGAAATAGAAATGTTAAGCATTAGTCAAAGAAAAGAAATAAGGTAACAATTTTGTTTATAAATTATATAATAAAGGTTATTTATTTTCTTGGACTAAATACTTTAAGGACAAGATTTAGTAAAAGAATTTTTTTTCTATTGCTTTCTATATTTTGATATTTATTCACTTACACAATTTATATTATTATTATTGATTATAAAGTTTGTATAGTTTAACTTCTGTATGAAAATTATATCTATAAAATACCTATAAAATACAGTTTAACTCCTGTAAAATTATATCTATAAAAATAAAATTATATCTTATTAAAATTATATCGTGTTTTAAAATCCGTTAAGTGATTGACAAGAAGAGATTAAGCATTATAAGACACGTTGTGATTGTGTTCGTTGAAATTCAATATGGTATAAGCTTTGTAAATATATATTATTTATACGTGTATAATTCCCCCCTTCTGAAAAAGAATTTCTTTCCTATTGAATAAATTAAAAAAAAACCACATCCATGTATATGTATATTGTATAATGTAATACTTTGTATTTCGCAAAAAAAAATTTAAATTTTAAGTTTTTACAAAATATATAATATATATTGAATCTCTTCCTCTCTCTCTCTCTCTCTCTCTTTTTAATATTAAAATACTTAAAATAAATATCTCAAGAAATTAACAAACCCTATCTTTTTGCAAAGTTAACAATGAATTTTGACAAATTTTAACAAATTTAGCAGTTTAGTAAATTTTATATCTGAAAATTGTGGTAATTATTTACTATAACGGACCCAGCTCAAATGACGTTGACCTTGACATATGTTGTCAAGGACATAAGCCTGAGTAACTTTTCCTTATAACTTAATCGGCGGTCATTGTTTATTAAAAAGTTATTAACAAATAAAGTTTGAGAAATAAAACGTAATTTTTACAGGTGAGGTGAACCTCGCTTCGTGTTGTAAAGTATATGCGTGGACACAGTGGGTTCCGCCCTCCTACGGGGGGCTCCACTTCCGGAAGATATAACCAAACCCAAACCTATTTCTGAAAATTTGGCTCCACTTCCAAAAAACATAACCTAACCCAAATCTGTTTCTGATTTAAAACTAAAATTTGATTCAAGTTACGTTATATAACTCAAACCAAATTTTCGTTTCGAATCTAACTTTAACTTTAAATATCTTAAAAATTATAAGAGACCGCCGATTAAGTTATAAGGAAAAGTGACTTAGGATTATGTCCTTGACAACATATGTCAAGGTCAACGTCATTGGAGCTGGGTCCGTTATAGTAAATAATTACCAAAATTGTTCTTTGTATTTAATAGTAGTATAATCCACTTATTTTTCAAGTATATTGTATCGCTTCTATTAAATGTCTATTAAATAAAAATTTACGATTTGGCTGGATATTTAATAATGTTATTACAATATTTATTATAATGTTTATCACATTTTTGTTGTCTTGATTATTATTATTTGAGAATATAATAATTACTTTTTTTTACTAATAATTTTTCTAAATATTTTTTTTCAAGACTTTCGGCAAAGAATCGATTGGCGAGAGACGATTGGATACTACATTGGAAAAGCACTTTAATAAGAAATTTGTTGATATGAAAGATATAAAGGAGAAGGAGAAAGTGAAGAGAGCCATATCTGAGCCTTCTCTAGTATCTCACGAGTCGATATCAATATCCAGTGGACGAGAGAAGCACCGGCATAGACGAACCAAACGTTCGTACAAGCCTAGATTACCCAGTAGATTTGGTTACGAGATCGCTGATCTGGATGCGTTCTTAACTAAGGTGTTTTTTATTATATATCTAAATTCTAACTGTTATTCTTTTAATACAGTCAGTGTTTTATTTCTAATAAATATTAATAAATTTAGCACATATAGGGAAAATCAATATATTTAGTATACATAATCTACGCGCGCGCGCACACACACACGCGCCTGCACCCGCGCCCGCACACGCACACGCACACGCGCGCGCGCATAAATATACTAAACATATTGATTTCCCTTATATGTGCTAAATATACTAATATTTATTAGAAATAAAACACTGACTATATTTTATATCACCCTGTATATATATTGTATATACAAGGTGTTTCACAACCTACGTACAATATTTTAATAGCGTATTCTAGAGGCAAAAATGAGTTAAAAATCTTAATACAAAAATATCGAGGCTACAATAGTTTTTGAGTTATAAGTGATCAAAGTTTGCCAATAATATTGCATAGAATTCGCGTCCTCGGGCTTGTAACTACATTTACACACATACTGATCTGTCTCTGTTATTGCTGACAAATAAAATAAATAAATTGATTTTCATAAAACTTCTTCGCGCGATCAAAACAAAGATAAATTTTGTTTCTTAATTTGTGAAAATATTAAGTTTATATTTATATTTAAATATAAGGTAAATATGCATGGAAGGTCACACCTCACCGATTTAATCGCTACTTAGATATATTGTAGGAGGGAGTGTTCTGAGTAATTCCCCGCAAGAATCAAGTGGCGGTCGATATTGTTTTAGGAGATATAACAAATTAAAGTTTCACAGTTTTAATGCTATTTTTTACGTATTATAAGAAGAAATAGGTTTGGGTTAGGTTATATCTTCCGGAAGTGGAGCCCCCCCGTAGAGGGGCGGAACCCATTGCATCCACGCATACACTTTCCCATCCACACAACAATTGTGAGGTAGACCTCACTTCGCGTTGTAAAGTATATGCGTGGACCAGTGGGTTCCGCCCCCCTACCGGGGAGCTCCACTTCCGGAAGATATAACCTAACCTAACCCAAACCTATTTTCAGTTTTAAAAGTAAAATTGAAGACGTGACTCAGAAATTCATGTAATCGCATATTAAAAGTTGTTAACGAACTGCGAGAAATAGGTGAAATCGATTATTGACAAAATATCTATGATCATGTACCTATCCCGTAAATGTAAACAAATACTTTTTTCATGTCTACCCTACAACAAATACAACGTACACAAACTTCACTTTTCCTAATATTACTTTATAATACCCGAGAAAAAGCATTAAAACTGTGAAACTTTAATTTGTTATATCTCCTAAACCAACTCCGACCGCCACTTGATTCTTGCGGAGAATTACTCAGAACACTCTCTCCTACAACATATATAAGTGGCGATTAAATCAGTGAGGTGTGACCTTTTATGCATATTTACCTAAATTACAATATGCGAACAAAATATAATATGACGAAAAATCAAATTTTTCTGAGTTTGTCGAGTACCGTCAAATATGTCTCCGGAAGACATTCGGTGTCTGTTTGTACATTTAAACTATCTCTTTGTCTCTTTATGTGTAAAACTTCGGAAATCAATCGCTTATGTAAATGTGGTTCGTTATCTAATATTTCTACTTCGTCCTACTTGAAATCACGATTAAAAGTGATTCTGTGATCGGTTATAACAGAATGACTGGTCGTATTTCTACGGATATGATTTCTATGTTCCGCTATTCTAGTATGTAGTTGTCTTTTTGTCTATCCAACGTAAGACGCATCACAATTATCACAGTTAATTTTATAGACAATATTGTTACGAGCCGATTGTGGGCAGGAGTCACTATGTACTTTAATAAATTTATTCATTTTATTAAGACTGCGGTATGAGAGTTTCACATTTAAGTCTTTGGTTATGTTTTTGAATTGTTCAGAAATTAAAGGAACGAAAGGTATTGTAAAATAAGAGACTATTCCCATTTTTTGTAGATATGTGGATGACATTGCATTGGCGGCTCCCTCTCCCCTTCTCAATCACGCTCTAGACATTTCTAACAC